TGTGTGTGTGTGTGTGTGTGTGTGTGTGTGTGTGTGTGTGTGTGTGAGCATGTGTGTGTGAGCGTGTGCGTGTGCGTGTGTGCTTGATTACAACTGAATCAGGGCTTGTTTGAGAATGAAGGAACCAGCCCATAAACTTTAACTACAGTTAATGATGCGTGGCCTGTGTGTTTTTATCCAAGGCAGGAGCGCAACTCTATCACCCCATAATGCTTTAGTGGAACAACACACCTGGGATGTGGACTGAACCACCAGAGAGCGGTAGGGTGGGAGGGTGGATAAGGTTACTTACAGAACTTTGAGGTTGTGGAGACCCTGGAGAGCGTGGCCTGAGATATACCTCAGCTGATTCCCTGAGATACGCCTAGGAGAGAAACACGCAGATCAAAAAAGGGAAAACAAATTATACAAGTCAAAAGTGAAATTTAAGCACATGAACGAAAAGATTTACAAGTCTCTTAAGAGAAGTTTTGCCTTTTGCTTTATTCTACATTTTTGGATTGAGCTGTATGACTTCATCCTTGAGTTCCTGCTCTGGGGTTACTGCTGGGGCAGTATGCAAATAACAATATTCGATTCCCTTCATTGTGGTTGTTATTGGCCCAAAGCACACCCTGAAACCTTAACCAATCCTGGGAGCTCTGATGAGTGAGTAAAGACTGAACTGAATGAGACAGAGACTGGGTCAACCAGTGCAGCCTGAAAGTATATTTGCTTGTGCGCATGCAAGTGTGTTTATGTGTGTGTGTGTGTGTGTGTGTGTGTGTGTGTGTGTGTGTGTGTGTGTGTGTATAGTAAGGTGTATACTATATATGCACACATGAGCACATATGTGTGTGCAGTGTGGATGCGTGTGCTATTTTCTATGTCCTTGAGGTAAATTGGGCTCGTTCTGAGGGGCCTTGAGGACAGCAAGGGAGAGAAACCACACACATTCACATAAGCAATCCAATCAGTTTGTTTATCAAACACAGCACCTAATGGTCATTTGTGAGTGTGTATAAGATGTCAAAATAAATAACATTCAGTCCAACAGAGTGACTCTCAAGGTCATGAGCTGGAAGCTCAGTTTAAACACATATTTGGTCTTCACAGCTCGAGACCACCCACTTTTATTAAACACACACACACACACAAGTTAAAAGTCACTGATTGACATGCTCCTGCTCACACCGTTGCTCTACAGGTGACATTTGCCTGACATTTCGGGCTCATGCAGACTGCCTCTGGCTGAGTTGCTCCAACTGTGTCAGGATATTGAAATATTGATATAGCACTCTGCTTGCCTTTCCAAGCCACTGTCATCCAGATGGTAATGGATGAGAGCTCCCAGCAAACTCCCTCTGACATCTGATATTCATGTCAACATGTCTTATTACTGTGCAGTGGCAAACCACGCAACCCCTCCCGCGCCTGCCAAATCTCACACTCAGCCCAGTTTAGAACTCTAGTCGAGCTTGTATTTATCAACACAAGCACACACACCCGCACATACACTTAGATGCATACCCGCATCGGCATACTAGAATACAAAACGGACTGATCTTTATCCAAGCTATTGTGGTGCCATTTAGTCATGCCTCTCAAACCACAGTCAAAACTCATTCAAACGGACTTTGACTGCGTCACATGAGGTCTTAATACAGATTTCAGACATGGAAGACACAGATCACAGAGCTGGTCTGCAGTGACTGCTGCTCTTTGACCTCACACATTCTAATATTCATTCTTATTTCAAGATAAAGGAGTTAAATTTGCACTAAGATCACTAAGCACACGTAAAGAAACATGCACACTGCCCATTTGTTGTCCCTCAGCAGGCGATAGGTCTGCTTCTTCGATACCATTTCAGTTTCCTCTATTGCACAAGCTGGTCACCGGGGACCATTTCGATAGCTACTTTTCCAGAGGTAACTGTTTCAATAGACCTTTCTGAGTTCCTGACACCAGTAAAATAGATCTACGCCCATTTCTGCAAAGACCCCAAGTACCTTATTTTGGTTCCTGGTCAAACGCAGTGATTACTTACAGACGCATTGGACAAAACAAAGATAGGTAGCACCAAGGAAAAATAAATGTCTTCAGTGGGGGGGGGG